CTGGTTTTGATTTCTCAGTCATGCCAAAACGTTTTTGTACCTTCCTCAGATATTCTTTATGAGACAAACAAAACCTCCCCAATTTCTTATCCCTTGATATCTCCATGCCTAGAATCTTCTTCGCTTCACCAAGATCCTTCTTTTCAAACTCCCTGTTCAATTGAGTCTTTAGTTTCGTAATTTTTGTCTGACTCCTGGAAGCTATCAGTATATCATCAATATAAAGAAGAAGATAAATATAGGATCCATCTTGTAGCTTGCGTAAATACACACAATGATCATATTTGCTTCTTGTGTACTTCTGCCCTATCATAAACTTGTCAAATCGCTTGTACCACTGCCTTGGAGATTGCTTCAAACCGTACAACAATTTTTCTAATTTGCACACCATCTTTTCTTTTTCAGTAACTTTGAATCCATCTGGCTGAGTCATATATATTTCCTCATCCAAGTCTCCATGTAAAAATGTAGTTTTAAATCCATTTAAACTAGTTCCAAATCCAACTACGCTACCAAAGGCAACAAAATTCTGATGGAGGAATGTTTTACAACTGGAGAAAATACTTCATTATAATCAACTCTCTCCGTTTGAGCGTAGCCTTTAGCCACCAATTGCTTTGTAGCGGATGTTATTCTTGTCAGGAAATCCATCTTTCTTTGCATATACCCACTTGCACCCAATTGCCTTCTTTCCCTTCGGAAGACTAGCTAGTTTCCACGTCTGATTCTTTTGAAGGGATTGCATTTCTTCATTCATGGCGATCCTCCACTTTTTATGTTTTGAACTTTGGACTGCTTCATTAAAGTGGCAGGAACGTCATCAATTGCAATTGGTGATGCAAAAGAGACCATATCAGCATAACGAACAGGTTATCTAATGGTCCTCTTTCCCTTTCTGAGTGCAATTGATTCATGTTGCTGTGGAGGTTCTTGGGTCTGAACCTCTTCTTCATCTGACTCTTTTTCTACCATAGGAGAGTCAACATCAGTTTCTTTACTGGCTGGGACAATTTTGCTTACTTCAAACTCCACCTGTTTGGGAGTTCCATCTATCTGCTCCAATTTTTCTGAAGTCATCTTTCTCAACATGGTAGATTCATCAAAGGTAACATCTCTGCTGAAGATTATTTTCTTTGTTTCTGGACACCAAAGACGATAGCCTTTCACACCAGAGGTGATCCCTATAAAGATCACCTTCTTAGCTTTTGGATCCAGTTTTGACTCCTTAACATGGTAGTATACAGTGGAACCAAACACATGTAAGGAATCATAATCTGTAGCTGGTTCTCCAAACCATTTCCCTAATGGTGTTTTACCACCAATAGCAGTTGATGGTAAACAATTGAAAAGGTGACAAGCATAGACCAAAGCCCTAGCCCAAAATTCTTTACCTAACCCAGCATTAGACAACATACATCGAACCTTATCCACTAATGTTCAGTTCATACGCTCTGTCACCCCATTCTGTTATGGTGTAGATCTGATAGTGAAATGCCTGACAATACCTTTTTCTTCACAGACTTTCAGAAATAGATCATTTTTGTACTCTCTACCATTGTCTGTACGGAGACGTTTGATTTTTCTGTCTGTTTGAGTCTCCACCGTCTTTTTCCATTTAAGGAAACATCCTAGCACCTCATCATTTGTATTCATTGTATACACCCAAACTCTCCGGGAAAAATCATTAACAAATATGACATAATAGTGTGTTCCTCCCAATGAAGTTGTCTTGGAAGGCCCCTATACATCAGAATGAACATAATCCAAAATACCTTTAGTATCATGGATTGCTGTTCCAAATTTCACCCTCGTCTTCTTCCCTTTGATGCAATGCTCACAAAAATCTAATTTGCAAGCACGAGCACCCTTCAATAATCCTTGATCTATCAACAATTTCAAGGATTTTTCACCAACATGCCCCAAGCGCATGTGCCATAACCTGGTTGCTTCTGACTCCTGTTCATCAGTAGAAGCTGCCACTACTGTTGTCCCAACAATTGTACTACCCAGAAAGTAATACACATTGTTTTTTTTTGAATTTCCTTCATTATCACCAGTGCACCAGATATAATCCTTATAATCCCATCTTTTTCCCTCACTTCTAAACCTTTTGACTCTAAGGTTCCCATAGAGATGAGATTTCTCATTAAATCTGGTACATAATGGATACCTATTAAGGTTCTGATTGATCCATCCTGATTCCTCAAGTGAATTGAACCAATCCCAAGTGTGTCAAGAGGGGAATTATTTGCTGTGTAGATAATTCCACCTTTTAGTTCTTTAAAATCAAAGAACCATTCTCTATTGTGGGTCATATGTTGGCTACAAGCTGAATCTAACAGCCATGAACTGGAACAGCTGGTTGATGGCGTAGCAGTGAATGCGAAATCTGAATCTGCATCATCATACTCGACCACATTTGATTCTAAGACAGCCTTTCAGGTTTGTCTTTATTCTTTGGCCTGGGACATTCTTTCTTCCAGTGCCCTTTTTCTCGACAAAAGGCACATTCATCTTTGCTCAATCTGGACTTTAACTTCGATCTCCCTCTCCTTCCTTTATTATGACTCTTCGAACGACCTCTAACAACAAGAGTTTCTGCTTCGACACTTGTATTTTCTTATTTGTCTTTCTTTCTCAATTCATAACTATACAAGGCATCAATTATTTCACTGAGAGACACATCAACCTTCCCATTAAGTAGAGTAGTTTTAAGATACTCAAACTCATCAAGAAGTGATCCCATCAACATCAGAGCCAGATATTCTTCTTCAAAAGTCATGTCCATATTCATCAGATCAGTCACCAGCAGATTAAAGCTAGTAATGTGATCATTCATAGTGGTACCTAGTACATAGTTGAAGCGGAACAATCTCTTTTTCATGTAGAGCTTGTTTTGACCGCTTTTCTTCAAAAATTTCACCTCCAGTGCCTTCCATAATTTACTTGTAGAAATTTCCTTAAAAAATGCATACTTATGCTCTCTAGAAAGACACGATCAAATAGTACTACATGTCAATCTATTGACCTTCTTCCATTCTTTCTCCTCAACACCATTTGGTTTCTCTCCTTCAATAGCAATGTCTAGACCCTGCTGAAATATGGCATCTAGAACCTCACTTTGCCACATGCCGAAATGACCGGTACCATAAAAAATCTCCACTACAAATCTAACATTTGTCACAGCATTTCTTACAGATGTTTTTATGTCATCTTCCATTTCTGCTACAAACTCTATTTAATAGTTGTCAATGCGGAATGTCAATTGTCCCAAGGAAATTTTTTCTGATGTGGAAGATCAGCCTAAGCCGCAACCACAGAGCATACTAAAATAAACCAAGAGCTCTGATACCAATTGTTGTGGAATTCGGGTTAATTTCCACCAATAATAACAAATTCATCTTGAAAACTATTATCTAAGTGACTAGTGAAAACGATTGTACTAAAAATCACCCCAAGGTAGATTCCCAAGAAAGAGGAGGGGTTACAATAGTCCCTCTTAAAACTCACTTTCCTTAGACAGAACTATCAAGATAAATAATTTTAATAGGACAATAATTAACAACAAATATACCCGACAATAGCTATTAAATAGACATAAAATAGAACACCAAAATTTAACGAGGTTCAGTCAAATTATGCCTATGTCATCGAACACTACTAAAATAATATTTCACTAATAGATGAAATATTATAAAGAGATAAATAGTACAAATAGCCTTTAATAGTGAAGAAAGTTTATATTTGTGGGATGTTAAACTAAGGAGGAGGAGGACTCTATTTATAACAAATAATTTTCTCTCCTCCTTATATACAACCAATGTGAGATTTTGCTAAAAAACCAACATCTTGTGCACTGGGAATGGACTGAGAGAGGAAGCAAAGGGAGAGAGAGGAAAAGAATCACATAAAGTGTGAAAAAGGGAAAGAGAAGATAACACCCTTCCTTTACTACTCCCATATCTCTAGATTGTTTGGGTTTTCTTTGTCTTCAAGTCTACAAACATAAATGATGCTTACATATATACACACTTTAAAGGTGAAAAAAGAAATCGAAATTATGCCTTTTTCGAAAGAGATATGAACTGATTGTTTCAGGAAAATTATTTGGCAAAATACGAACACAGGTTACACAAGTACAAAACAGAACACCAGAATCATTATAGACCAAAGACTATTGTCATGGGTTATTGTCATATTTCCAAAATATATCTAATAGGATGTATAACCACTTTAAATTTTTTTTTTTTTGGATATGGGATTAATATTCCATTTATCTAAGACGTGACACTATGCATTTACGAGAGGAAAGATATCCATTTAAAGGAAAAATTGATGGCCAAGGAAATTTAATGTAATGAATTCCTGGCCATAAACCCGAGCAGTCGTGGTACTTTGCACCAGCAGATACAGCTGCTGATGCGTGCTATGCAACTAGCAAGTGGGATTAGTCATTTCCATTAAGAGTTTGTGGCACTAACTTTTTTTTTTGGTCGTTCAGACAGAAGCTTGATGGATGAATTACAGAAACAAACGGGGAGTGTTAGGTGGAAATAATAAAAATGTCGGTAGCAACCGGTAATCCTGATGTAAAACATGCATAAGCAATACGAAGACAAGCATCTAAACAACCAAAAAAAAAAGATTACCAAGTTTTTGCTTTTATATGGTCCGTGATCAAAATCGTTTATCAAGAATAATGATGATTTCGAAGGGCAGGCCTGTAACTTTTACGGTACATGTACAATAATATTATCTTCAGGGTTCGAAATATAACCTTGCTTTGTAAAAGCCTGCTTGAGAAGAAGACAGTGCAGTAAAACTGAGGCCAACGATTATAATCGATAAAAACAGATCATTAAACGAAGTACACACACCATTTCCATTTATTAGTAGTTATGTATCACAATGGTGGAACATTGTATGGCTACATTCAAATGCTGTATTATCTCTACATATTCAAGAAGATGATGAAGTGAGGGAACCGGTGGAACCATCACTGCTAATTCAGTAAATTGCAGCTGAATTGGCCGTCTACGACCGACAGCTTCTCGGCTTTTGTAACTGCATCGAATGGAAGAGGAGCAAAGCTTCGAGATGGGCCATAGAAGTGCGGGAATTTGTTCGAATCATCCACAAGTTCATACACCAATTCACCTCCGAGCTGCAACTGCAAATGTCAAACGGTAGCTCATGTACATCAAGAAGTTGAGGAACCAGAGCATAAACAAAAGCATAATGCTCAATGCTTAGGGAATGCAATTATGACACTAATTCAAGTAGGGCCGTAAAAGAGCCGAGCCGAGTCGAGCTCGACTCGAAAAGTTCAAGGTTGAGTTCGATTCGATTAAAATGCTCATGAGCTTAAAATTGTTAAACTTGACTCAAACTTGAAATCAAAACTTGAGCACGAAAAAACTTGAACTCGAAATATTTTTAGACTTAGCTCGATTGAAGCTCGAACTCGAAAAAGCTTGAACCCAAAACATTCTCAGACTTAGCTCAATTGAAACTCGAATATGAACTTAAACCTAAACCTTAAGTACATGAAGACCTCATGCTACATTTTCTCTCTCTAAAAAACAACATATAAATGTAAATATTATTAATAATCTAATTTTAAAAATTAAAAATTTAACATATTCTCTTACGAGTTGCTTGCAAGCTTTTTGAATCAAGTATCAAGTAGTTTGTTTCAGCTAATTAAAAACTAGAGTCGAAAATATTCGAATAGAGTGTTGACCGAATTTTGATCGAACCAATTTCGAGTAGCAGCCGACATATTTGTCTCATTTTCAGCCCTAAATTCAAGGATAGGGGAAATGGTGGTCTTTTTCAACTCCCAAATAACTAAAGATCTGTAATATTCATTGATGTTTCAACTCCCATCATTTCCAAAAATGAACCATTAAACGAACCTTAGTACTATTGCTTCCTTAACTAAGATTGCAAGTTAATTTGAGGGTTTCCGAATCTCTCAATTTGAGAACAATCCAAGTACCCAGATATTGTATTTTCATTTCAATTTGATCTTTAACATCAACAAGCAAAGGAGTAGAGTAAGATCTGAAGCATTCTTTGTCAAAAAACATGTAGAAGCGTTGTTTTACCGTCTTGGTATCAATTTGAAGAAGGTACAAATCCAGCTTGACGTTAGAGAAAAAATTCTGCAGTGTGGGCTTCACCTGCAACAAATGATAGCCAAACACAAACATGATTCAATTACATGTATCGGGAGATATAAGTAAAGGAATAAAATTGGGTAGTTGAGAGAGAAATAGAGAAACCTGATGAAGCGAGCTGAAGTGAATGAAACCAGAGGATTTGTCCAAATTTTCGCCAAAAGTAGATCCATTGTTCTGCAATGCTTCCCATTCCTAAGCCGTGCTAATCCTGTAGACGAATTCTTCCCCTTCACCAGCAGCCATTGTTAACGCTCAGCCCAACAGCCGATGGTGATTTTGGTCCAACCAAAGCACAGTGACAACTGTAGAGCACAGTGACAACTGTAGTGTTTTCTGGCGATAAGGCTTAATAGAATAGCTAGTCCAACTTTCCTTATGAGCTTCCTTGTGCTAAATCAATATACCCATTCCCCAGCCCATATATATATCAATAGAGGCTCTCAAAGCTTCAGCTTCAAGCGTCAATTCGCTCATTGAATTCGATTCCGGGAGAGGAGTAGATTTTCGCTTCTCTCCGTCGTTGGTCGTCGCTTGATAACCGCTCGCATTTCTCTCAGGCAAATTCCTCTACCTCTTC